GGGGGGCCATGTGAAAAAATTGGTAAGCTGAGGGGGGGTCATGCGATTTATAAATGGTGCTTCCCAAATCCCACCAGCCCCCCCTCCCTCATAAAAAATGAACGGTCCCTTATTGATCATGAAGTTCGTCATACCATTGTCAAAGTAGCTGTGGATCCACGAGGCGATAGCCGAGTGGATCCGCAGACTACTTTGACAATGTCCGCTTATTGACAATAAAAATTAGCCAATGAGCGCGCGAGAATTTCTGCAGTTATCGTAAAAAATTTATTTGTCAAACATTTCACAGTCTTATTATCCTTTATTGATAAAAGACTTCACAATGGTATGACCAATGTCAAGAACGCCTGCATTGATTCAATGAGATTCAAACATATACACGATACACAATACAGCTTAAAATCTTGCTTCACCTTATTTTCAAGAACATTTCGCCAATCATGGCCATGTTGTCGCGCCATCTGAATAACTCCTCCATGACCACACAGCACAAGTCCATGAAGAAGCAGGCCAAGAGAAAGGGAAATACCACAAGCCTTATAGAAAAAAAAAGAAAATCCTCTCATTTTCATTGACAATTTACAATTGGAAAAACTGGCATCCTATTTGCTACCTGCAAGAGAGCACCAACCACAGCCCCGGCAGTCAAGAAATCCTCAGAAACCTTAGTGGTCTATTGTCAAACTCCGTTTTGTTTGGGCGTGTAAACAAATGATGCTAAAGAAAAACACTGTTGCTTTTGTTAGTACAACTAACCTCAAGGTGTTTCGCCGTCATGCTTTGAATTTTGTGAATGCACTCCACAGCTTGATCAGCTGACAGAAGACCGGTATGAAACGCATTAACACAAACACAAGCCACGCCGAAACACAAGCTCTGCCGGAAAAATACCCACATAACATTAGAAATAAACACAACCCACGCTAAAACACAGACTCTGCCGGAAAAATAATGCACATAACATTAGACATAAACACACCCCACGCTAAAAAAACAGGCTCTGCCGGAAAAATAGCCGTTAGACATGAGCTTCATAAAAATAAAAATATACATATCAAAATAAAATAAAATAAGTTGACTTTTTGTTGGCGATTTTAGAATGTCTACAAACGCCAACGTGACGGCAATCTGCAGAAATGTTTTGACTAGAGTTGTATCTCTTCATCATACTGAAGTTTCATTTGATTTATACATGTAGACATGTAGTGTTAGTAGTATGTAGCAAACCAGCCTAAAACAAGATCGTCACTGACACCTTTCAAGCTTAAGTGTTTAAAATAGTGTTCTCATCACAGAACTTACTTGAAGCTTTTGATCAGGATCATCTTGCTCATTTAACATGTCCATCAGTTTGTTGTGAAGGTTTGTCACGTGAACTCTGGAGTCTACGAGACTCTCTTTACACAAAGACGACACAGCTAGTCCAAGACCAAGACAAGCGCCTTCTCTGCGGAAAAAAATACGTCCTGATGTTAACACAATGAACCCACAATAAGCAGACAACCGCGGGACTCATGCTAGCGTCCGCTTAATACGACTTCTTTTATAGAAAATGTAAAAAGAAAAGGACCTACTGTGGTGGTTGACTGAATAACGCAGAGTGTCCGCTTAATACAGTTTCACTAAATTTTACAACATACTCAAATTGCTTCATGTTTGAAAATTGGAAATGTTAAAAATAGCAAGCAATCTGAAACTGCATAGTAAGGACACTAGCAGTGAGAGTGAAAATGCACTTTTATAAACACTCATAATTCGATCTCCCTTCACTGACTGAGCTCGCACTTTAAATATAAAATTGTTGTAAAGAACAAGAGTGAATAGAGTTGCTGTTTCATTGGTGGCACTGCTAAGCATTCTGACCTATTCCTATTCTGCCAAGCAGAAGTGTTTACTTAGAGCGATTGTACTATTTTTACATCAGAGAAAATAAACTAGAACCTTTTCGCGTAACTTTACGATAGATTGCCGAGCACCTAGTCAAGTACAATTTCCTAGTTTGTTTCTTACGTGTTTTCTAACTCTGATGTCATAGCAGCATTCTCCAAGGCATCTAAAGCTGTAGTCATCAGCAAATAGCCCTATGGAAACAAGTATCATATGCTTTAACACGACGACTTTACTCACTAAATCACCATGTTATAGTCAACCGCTTTAGGTTCTGTTACGGGGCTTAATCTACCAAGCCATGCTTTTAGCGCAAGGATGTATCACGCTAAAAGAACGGCCGGTAACTCAAGTCTTAAACTAGACCATTAGATCGGCGGACTGGCTATAAGGTGACGATACTTTCGAAAGTTAAGTCGTGATATGTTGTTTGTTAACAGGTTTGTGAGAGGATTCTCCTATCGCACTGGCTGCATAAGGTGTTTTTAAACGGAATTGAACCTGTTAACGATGTAAATTCACATGGAAACAACATTGACTTACCTCCTTGCCACACACATCACTAAAAGAAAAGAGAAAATAATTGCTGTTATATATTGCCCAAGTAACAGGGACTTATAGTAAGAACTGTCTCTTACCCAAAAGAAAAAACTAAAATTGGTGAAAGGTTTTGAGTTATGACTTATCACTGAAATCTTTGCATTCTACAAGGCTAGGACAGTAAACGGTGAAGACAGCGAGTGTCACTGTTATACCTGCGAAAACACTTTTGATGTAAATCGCTACAACGCCGAAAACCTATTTTTTCACAAAACTGGGTCATTTATATGTGAAGGGAAGTTGGCTAAAAACAATCTTTAATTTACTTTCCTGTTATGGTGATTCAGTTATAACTGAAGTAAAATAATGGGTTTCAAGACATGAAATTCGAGGGTGACACCCTTATGTCGAATCAGTCAGAGGTATATCACAGTAAAACATGCCTGAAGTGTTCCTCGTAGAGTTTGCTTAAAAACAAACCCAGTCCTAAAGAACAAGACGTCTGTACCACTGCTGAGCTGCCTGCTCTAAAAAACAGGAGAGAAAAAAGCAGATCGCATTATATCTTCCTTACTAGATAAAACATTGCATTTGATACTCCTCGAAAACGGATACAAAAATTTATCTGAACTGCCTTTTAACTGTTTTACGTTATACATATTGATAGAACAAGACTTCAGCAAACTGACTGTTTTCACAGAAGACCCTAACCCCAACGAAAACTAGCTTGCACAATAACAGTTTCTCGTTAAAAAGGAAATAAAATGCAACCTAGGGGGATTGTTGTACCTTAAATATCATAACAATTAAGGTTTCATTTACTTCTAACCTGAGTTAACGAGAGCTTCCGTAACCTGCCGAACAATTTCGAAGATTGGAAATTCCCGACGACAGTTGTTTCCATTGTATCTCGTACAAAATTTGAAAAATAACAAAATCGATAAAATTTCTTTACAGCTTTCTTCCTACCCCAGTGGTATCAGTACTCACTTGGTCTGTCCTGGTATTCTTTGTTTCAGTAGTTCAGCCATGTTGTGAATTCTGTCGGTGTCAAGCGTGACAAGGCAAGGAACCAACAGTGACAGAGATAATGCACAGCATGAACGAGCTAGCAACGAGCTGGCAGTGGAGGTAGCAGAAGATACCTGACAGAAAATAGAACAAAATATATACAGTCATACTTTTAACGAGCCTCTCTGTTAAACTGCGGTAAGGTAAAGTCTGAATACAAGTCAAGTGGCCCATCAGGTTGGAGCTTATCCCGGTTTCCGTAGCATGAAGTGACTAGGAGTATTTCTATTCCTCCCTGGAGGGGGTGTTGGTCCATCGCAGGATTACCGCCCACATTAAATTCGCCGCGCCAATTGATACACCTGGGTAGGGAAAGGCACTGTGAGAATAAAGTGTCTTGCCCAAGAACACAACACAATGACCCTGGCCAGGGCTCGAACCCAGACCGCTCGACCCGGAGACGAGCACACTAACCATGAGGCCACCCGCGCCTCTCTTCTGTTAAACTGCAGCCTAGAGTCTGAGGTTTCTTTCGGTTGACAGTTGGCAAAGGGTAAAGACCTGAGCTGATTATCAAAGTCTATAAAATCCGAGAGTGAGTTGTCTAACAGTTTTAGCATAACCCAGTAGCCTATCTTTGAAACATAGAATATCCATACAAATGATTTACCTGATTCACTATTTTGACTGATACTTGTTTTTACTGTCAAGATTTAATAAACCCTATACTTAACATAAACCCGCAGAACAGTTAAAACCTTTTACGCTTCATATTTTGTCAAACGCTCTTTACGGCTTGACTGATATAAGCTGGCCATGATCAACAAAGCACTCGTGTTTCACGACAGCTCATGCAATAACTTACAGTTATTCACCTGTTGACACCAAACCAAAGTAGGACCTTTAGCTTTGTAATTTCCATCCAATACCACCATCAGCGTGTCAGCTACCACGTTCAGCCACTCCGTGTTCCGCTGATATGATTCTGTCGTCCCTGAAGAGCTCTGCTGTTGTACAAATATCGATACGGCTCGTGCCAGGCCTGCTAGAGCAAGCACTGAATTACCCTGTACGGACGGGTTGCCCCTAAACAGGAAGGAAACCAAAACGAGTACGATGCTACACTGTTAATAAAACCAGTCAGGCCACTTCTGGTCCGAAGTGGTCCGGTTTCATAAATTAATGCATGGAGTACCCAATCACACATTTAATTTGCAAGGTTTAAATTAGTTATCACACTTTTTCTAGTGCAAGTGATTCGTGTAAGTAAGAAATATAACGTATTGTAAGTTAGTAATGTAACATAATGTATTGTAAGTGAGGTAATGTAATGTATTGTAAGTGGCATACGTAAGTAATATAGCATATTGTAAGCAATTCAATAATTTTATGCAAGGTTTTGTAAGTAGGTAATGTCGTATGTAGTAAGTAGAGTACTGTAAGTAGGCAATGTAAAAAAACATTTTGTAAGTGACAATTGTAAACTCAGAATTTAGCAAAGTATAAGTCGATTTTAGTATTGTGTTTTAAATTATAAGTTTTGTAACGTAAGTATTCTGTAATTGTGATGTAATATAATATACAGAGTAAATAAATTATTAAAAAAAACAGTCAGGGTTACCAACAACACACACTTATTCGTTCCTATATTTTTGTGGCAACAGGTAATCTGTCGTTACTAGGTTTATATGGAGTAGGAAGGCTACCATCTTCCCCAGGTCATCATTTACCGAGCGTCTGTATGTAAACTCATTGTCCATGCTGACCGACCGAAAAGTTGGCCATCCAGTTTAGTGCATGCCCCTGACGTGTCCATGGTAAACGGATCAAACATGTTCCAAGTCTTTACATTGAAAGGTGGCTCGTGTGTGCATAGGCGTGCCTGCGTGCTGAGTATCTGTAGGGGAGGTGTGGGGTGAGAGGAAGTCGACATGACAAAATGAGCCAGCGGAAATCCAACAAAGTGAAACCTGAATTTTTCAAAGCAGACACCCTGGTGACTGTAGCTCGTGTTCGCTTAACAGAGATATCCTCTTAATACAGGTTCGTTTAACAGAAAACATGAGAAGAAACGTTTTTGAGCTGCTGGGGTCGGTGGCCAGCATTTTACAGGGGTAAAAGACATATAACATGATATCATACCTTGACGCGGCTTTGAGCTGTTCAGTGATCTGATCTCTTACCCTGAAAATTAACACATGTAAATTCACTGTTACACTTGGGTCGGTCTATTGCCATCATGTATTTAGTCAAGAAAATTAGAGAATCAACTCCGAAGTAATTCAAAGAGCTGAGATAAGCCCCCTGCGTTAGTGTAGTAAGGAATTGAGGAACCTTTGGTTCGTCGGTTTAAGGAAGAATGGAAAAATGGTGAATTACAGAAACACCACTAACGGAGAGTCCTGAGTAACGCTGGCAGTGGTTTTGTTTTCTCCCATTTCTTTTATTGCTACGATCTCGTCATTCTCCTAGTATCTCCAGTCAAGTCAATCTTGGAAGAAATGAGTCCAAATCTCGTTTGCCTTGACTCATACACATTTTAATTAATATTGGGTGACAGGTTACTCATAGTGAAGTGCTCCTTAAAATGAAGCGTCGACGGATTGAGTTTTAACAGGTTATCAACAGTCTGTTTGGCTGTGAGAAATCTCAAGGAAACTGCATGACCAGCAATGTGAACCGACACCGCGACAAAGCATCTTCGATATTACTCACCACAACCAAGAATTCATTTGTCTTGTTTTCAGCTCTTCAACATCCTGAATATGTCCATGACTGTGCTGCATCTCTAACTCTGCTTTACGTCCCTACAAGGTGACAACCCTTAAAGCTTACAATTTTAAAGAAATACCAACATTGTAAAGCTGCTATGTACACGGCAATCTTCAACTATATGTAAGTCACGACCCGTTAATATTAAAACCCTTGGGTCTAAATTAGTATAGTTAGTCGTGTGAATGCATGTGCAATTAAGAATTTACACTGCTGGTGATGAGGAACTAATTTTCAAATACTAAAAGTCAAATTTGCGTGGTGAGGAATACAACCTAAAAGTCAGTGACAAACTGCAATAACGTTCCTCACTTGACATTTTTTTTTCTAATAGAGTTCAACAACTGCAATCTAAGTATATGGCAATGTTTTAGCTTTTCCTTGAGTTGTTCGGAGTGAACGTACCTCTACACACGCATTGTAAGCTCGGTTCATAAACGATAACCAGGCCTGAGGCAGAAGCAAAGTTCTGTGCCATTCAGAAGGTTGAACAGGCACCTGGGAAGGCATAAAGCAATCAATGAGCATAACGGTATCCATAGCCTGTGAACACAGGAACTGGCCAAAAACAACAGGCAATATCTATCCGTGTCTACAGACTTGCTGTCATTATCTGTGGATCTTGTCAGAATTTTAATCGCCCTGTACTGTGCAACAAACTCTAATTAACACTCGCGGGTAAACTATCTGTGACGGGATTTTCTATATTAAATAAGTAGTACCTCTAAACAGAAATAACAGGAAAGATCAACGTTCATCCCTTAAGTAAATTTCGAGTTAAAGAGACCTTCTAAGACTTATGATACGTTTCAGATTAGCTGTTAATAGCTGAAAACAAACTAGCCAAGCTTTTAAATTGAATGCTAATTATATTTTGCTTTCCTTTGCACATTTTTTATTTTATTTTATTTTATTAGCTTTGCCTTTATGATACAGAAAAAATATATATATCAATCAATATGTAGAGGTTTGGCAGGGACATCGCAACAGCTAAGTAGCCAATTACTGCGGGCCAGAAATAAAATATGTGTAATATGTATTAAACATTCTGCAATAGCTACCACAGTATGTGATCACTGTTACCTCGTGCAGCAGTGAATCTAGCATCTGTCCGTATCTTCGGGCGCAATTCACTAAATATCTTCGGGCACGTTTCCCTTCGACTTGTTCAAAAGGAGGCTCAAAACAAAACAAGAGTCCGGCTGATTAAAAACAGAAACGTTTTATCAATAAAGACCCGCAAAACAACCAACCAAACCAACAAAACACAAACACATCTTTTTTTATCGTTCCTAGCAATAATACCCACATGGGTCCAGCTCATCTCTTGAACGTAACGCTTATTTAAACAAGCCTCTCCTCTCTACTAAGACTCCTACCCCATGCCCCTTCACAAGATGGTAAGGAGTGGCATCCGCTGACCACAATTTCATGTCACTTTTTCAATTCGTTGTTTTTGTTGTGCAGGAAACGTGGAAATTGTCCTACACGTATCTTGTCAGAGATGTTTTCAGCGCTTGTTTTTATCTTAATACCGTTTTTACCTGCAAGTCCTTGATTTAGTCCTGGTGACTTGGACTTGTCATACTGACTTGTTAGGAATTCTGGGATGGATAGCATGTTCCTGTCATGGGATGATGTACCACGTGATACGGTGTGAGCCAGGCCTCTTGGCAGAGATGCAGCTTCCATTCTAATCATGTTAGTCAAGAGCTTCTGAAAACCTGCATTTGAACAATCATAGAAAACTATAAATATGACGATAAAATACTTTCTACAGCAGCTGTATGTCCCAGAAAGTCAATCACTGTAATACACTATGTAAGGCCAAGAAAAAAATACCAAACGTGTTCAGTTTGCAAGGCTTGTGTTGGTGCCCTCGAAACATCCCAGAATGGAGCCATGTATCTAACAAGTAAAACAAAACCTTAATTCATGAATGCGTGCTTACAATGGTACAAATGACAATTCCTCGGCTGATCTCAAGAAGGTATTCAAACAGGGGAAGTTGAATAGTTTATGGATCAGCGATGTGACTATTCCCCCGAGGGCATTTCATCAGAAGCATATCAAGAGTTAACACATGACGATACACTCATAGTTTTTATGACATGTTAAACACCCTCAGCTTAGCTCAGCTGTAAGTCTTAACAATTTTAGGACCCAAGGAACAATTGCTACGAAAATACATTTCGTCTCGTAACAGTCATGACCGTTTTATGTGGAATGGACAAAGCCTGAAAGCACGGAGCAAGTGCCCTTGGAATGGTCTCGGAGGTTGAACTGTATGAAAATGAATGAAGACTGAAAAGCTAGACCTGGAAGTACATCTTGGTTAAGCATCTGTAAGAGTTCAACATAAGCCGTCCCTGGTGGTGTTGAGTTATCAATAGATTCCAGTACAGCAGCTTCATCTTCAGTCTCATCACTGTCATCACTCCGTTTCTTGGAGGCCAGCAGCTTTTCTTTCAATGGATGATAGATCTGTGTGTAGAATGCATATACGTATGGTTTCTAAGTGCTCTTTTGACTGCAGATGTCAGCAAAAAAGTAGTGACGATTATCAGGTATTACTGTCCACACCAAACTGACATAAAGCGAAGGTTGCCTTCTTTAGAATGTTTAAAACTGTTGTTAAGTGATTACCACTGACACTAAAAGTGTATCCCGCCAACAATTACGTTGAATAGATTTGATTTCCAGCATGAACGTTTTAAAGAGAAACACACCGGAGACTTGAATACATAATCACCGGGTATACACTATTGTACCTTTTCCGGTAGATGAATAAGCTTGAAATCAGATGGATCAAACATCGACAACGCTGTGAAGGCAGCACAAGCCACAAGCGACTCCTGAAGGTAAGAGAATGAAACATGGGGAAAATATATGTATCATAAATGGGCACATACTGACTACACTGTTAAATAGTGGGACAGTCATAAAAATTTGTTTTTATTTGTTTGTTGATTGGGTCTTCGCCCTCATCAACTATCACCTTAGAAAAATCTTAAATCTTAAATCTTAAACTCATAATCTAATTGTTACTTAGATTGAGTTACCAGACCAGTGGTCTTTTCACTAATTCTCTAAGCAGTCAATTTGCTGCTCTAATAAACAAGAAACAGAGAGTACAAATATCACAATTTGTTATTGACATACCTGGTGTTGGGTCAAGGACCACAGGAAGGAAAGTGCTTGATTCTTGAAATCCTAATGCCAATAATTGTGATATCAGATTAACGCGCAGTGTAACTGAAGTCTAAAATGCGACTATATACTGTAACAGTCCATAATTCATGCAGTAATGCAACATTAATAAGCCTGTTTTTTGTTGCTGCTGTTTTTCTTTTTTGTCTTTTTTGAGAAACAAGTGGAATAACCATACGTACCCGATAGTCTGAAGAGTTAGCAGCCAGGTTGGGTACAACACTGAACAACTGACATAAACTGCTCAGAACCTGAGGCCGCTTGTCCAGACTAAGTTTCACTGAAAGAACTTTCCATGCTGTGCACAGGTCCACAACCTAATAAAAGACCGTTTATGATATCAACAGGGAAAAGCTCAGTTAGTTTCTGGTAACAAAGATGATGGAAAACCAAGTAAATATCTACCAAGACTAGAGTAGGTGCCGCTTATTCTATTTTCCCGCGCGATTTTTATCACGACATTCGAAATTCACGTAATTGTCATGATTTGCCTCAAAGTGCGGTGGTAAAGCAAAACATCACTTCGCAATATTGAACGGACCGATTAATCTCAAAACAATCCCAAAAGAAAAGGAAAACCTTTTTGAGGATATGCATGTAGACTCTCAACAAGTCGGCGTTGTCTTTGGTGTTTGATAGAAAGTGCACGGATGTTAAGACTTTACATGGTGTGTAAGTTTGTCTTAATCCAAGCTAATCGCAAGGGTTGGCATGTGTTCGTGTTCTTCAACGTTGACCACACATACCTCAGCTTTACAAAGTTCCTCCAAAGCTTGCAATGCCAATGATACTGCTACTACAGACGAATGGTTTTCAGTCTCCCCAGGTTTTGTGTTTTCATCCAGCAGTTTGGACAGCAGGCTCAACAGATCTGCACCATGCTGAGAGGGTCTGTGGTTTGTAAGGAACACAGTTGAAAGCTGTTAAGAAAACGCCTCGCAAAACGGCAATACAAGCAGTTACTCAGCAAGGAGGGTATGCTTGTCTCCAAATTCCTACCATTTCGTCATACAGTGTAAGAGTGCGCACAGAGACTAGACATATCTGCTTTCTTACACCTGCCAAAGCTAGCACAGAACCATTCAAAGAACATACCACGGACATCCCAGGCTGTAACGAGCTTATATTGTAAAAGCCAGGAATGATTTGGAACACATTGACAACATAGAAACGCTTCTACTTTTAAGATTTTTTCATCATAAAGCTCAGGTGTGCTTTCTTTACAGTGCGACTATTTGAACTGAACCATTTTGTTGTAGAAGTACTGTTTGAATCCTTAACGTTATTAGTTGACATCCTTAAGGCTCTGTTCTCAATTAACGGTTTGATTGGTTAACTTTGTTCCAAGTGGCCCAGCTCGATTAGGTTATTAAACTATAATCTGTGTTTGGAAATTAATAACAGTTAGGGAGGCATGAACAGGACTGATGCTGTACCTTAGTTTGCAGATCTCTAATAAAGAGGCTGCTTTGGCCATCTGTATGTCCAAGTTTAATTCCACTTCCACATTAGTGTCAACTGAGTTAAGTGCTCGCTGAAGATGTGGAAAGACACGATTTTGTACCTGCCACAACTTGCACATCAATCTCAGAGACACGGGCTTTAGAGAAGGAGACTGTCCTATAGTCTGAATCGTGCGTAACACAGGGCCTATACAAAACTACAAACAAGAAGAAGCAATATAGTGAGATGGAAATAGTGGCGTAGTCTCGTTCGTCCACGTAGTCTATTCTATCTCAATGTCGTTTACCATAGGGGCACTGATTGGAAGAGGCCAGTTACTGGATGAATGGCGCTATACGGAATCATAACGGCACACAGTCATACATTGCGTAATGAAGACCAGTATTAAGCAGACTAATGCTATATCGTGCAACAAACATAATAGCTGTTACTAATGTATGTACAGAAAAAGTAATATTGAATAATTCATGATTATCCATTAGAGACATCACGTGAGTGTAGTTAAAGTTCAAAAAAAGGTATTATAACTATCAGACTGTATTGTACCTTGTGTGTGACGAGTTGTGGTATGGTATAAAGAACCTGCTGCTTCACTTCAGGAAGATCTTCTTTGCCAAGTTTGTACAGCAACAAGGGCAGGAAATAAAGAGCCTGAAACGATAAATAAATTCTTATATAGACTGTATTAACTAAATAAATACTATAAGCCCTATGTCTCACCGCTAGTCATCTTACAATGGTACGGTTTCTAGATCAGTGTTTTTGATACTGCTCAGTGCACACTTTGATGATTTTTTTAACGTAATAATCTAATGTAAGAGAATTGATCCACTTGGCAAGTACATTTTCATTCATGTTACTCAATGTCACAGTGAAATTTAACCGGCACCTTTTAATGTGATTTCTAGAGGTCAACATCGATTAATTAGTAAAAAATATAAACACACATATAAAACTGTAAACGACTCCACTAACTGACTCAAACTCAGTACCTGTGACGGATCAGTCTTGGCAAGAACTGGAAAAACCTTCAAGGTTTCCATGACAATGAATCCTTCTGCAGTCACCAATAAAGTTGACAACAGTAGTGTTACATGACTCAGCACTTGACGTTGTGAAGGAAGTGAGCTTTGCAAACTGTTAAGCCAGTTCTTAGCTGTTTCATTGTTTCTAGGGATGTGACAAAACTATGTAAGGTTTTATCAGGCACTGCCAAATGCAATATGACTGACTCAAAGAAATATCTAGGACTGATACCATGCATTTACAACCTAATTACCTAATTAATGACATCATTTCCTGAGAGCAGGCAGTCATTTGTCTGATAGATTGACTGAGAACTGAGGAGGAATAGTCAACCATCCCAGCACTCTGAAAAGTAATAAACAAAATCAAATATACTTTGATTGTTGCGATCTCTGGACATCGATTATTTGACTTAAATATGTGTTCGTACAGATCAGATATATTTAAGTCAAATAATAAAATTAAATACCTTGACTAAAAACTGACAGACAACAGCAAAAGGAAACAAAGAATACTTGTGTGCATTGTTGTCTAGCAAACAAGTGAAGTTACTTCCTACTAACAATGCTGCAATGCACAGCAACAAATTTGCTAAAAACTAATGAATGCTCGGTACATGGGATTTACATTGTGGTTCTAGTCATAATCATTTGCTGTGAGCATAACAAGGCTGAAACAGTTGTGACAGCCAGGATTTTATTCTTTTCCAAAGGATATCAGTTTGATCACAGATAATTAACCAACCTAATGGGGTTTTCTAGCTATCATTGCAGTGATTATTACACATTGTAGTCACCATCTGTCTTCTCATTGGCTATAAGCCTACAGTTAATTCTGGAAAACAGTGCAACCTACAGATTATTCACTAATCTGCTACCAGATTAGTGAATAATCCAAAGGTTGCATGTGCAATGCATGATTTCCAAGAGCAATGTCAAGTTCATGTAAGAACATGGCTTGATGAAAATAAACTGTGTTCGGTGTGATAATGCGTTTGTTGTTATTTTCTTTAAAACAATGTATAATAAAACAATTATGAGATTCAGTTTTTGTGATATCCGAAATAATCAAGGTTTTGGTTAGTGTTATCAGCCTCAGCCTTCGGCTGATAACACTTCCCTCAACCTTGATTATTCCAGATATCACAAAAACCTCATCCAATAATTGCTTATTATTTACAGCCCTTCCCATGCAATATTATCCTCAAACCAGACCCCAAATGTGTCCCATCAGTTATGAACAGATGCTCAGCATCACTGTAAAACAAAACCTGTCCAAGTTGAGTAATAGCTTCTGGCCATACATACAGAGAGCCAGGAACCACTGTACAATAATTGACAAATGGGTTCAAGGCTGTTGCCTAAGGAAATTTTTAAGGAGCCCTTTGGGCTCCTAACTTTAAAAGTTAGGAGCCCAAGCCACTTTTTTAGGAGCCCAGAATAAATTTGCTGTGGTCAATCCGGGGGGTTGGCGAGACTGGGGAAGACAAAGGGGGGAGGTGAATTTGGAAATTTAGGGGAGGGGTCCAGAGGCAGAGATTTTCCATGAGACACTAATATGGTTTATTTTATCAATCAGATTTTTGAAATAAGGTGTTCAGCAAAGTGGTCAGGTCATGACTGAGAAAGAATACTTTTTGTGGTCAAACAAATTCAATAATCGGTGTATCCATGCAAGTGCTGCAGCTTTTTTTACAAAAATTTATATGGCCTCTTTCGTTTTTGAGTTTAGCAATTCTAAACAAATCATGAAATGCAAGCTGCAAATGAAAACAAATGAAGATGAAATAGGCATTTGGGGTGNGGGCGATTTTCAAATATGGCTGTTTTCGGTTGTTTTGTGAGCGGAGAGAGACTTTGTTACCGTGCTTTGGTCCATATTTCTCGTGTTAAAGCAAAACAGGACCAGAGTAGCTGTTGTTTTCCGTTTAATTTATTGTGTGAATGGTTTTTTGGCCGATTTCATTAGAAGATTGAAGTCATTGAACAGATTAGGTGGGAATGAAAACTCCATGTTTAGGCGCCCACTCGGGCTCCTTGAACAAAACTTTAGTCGCCCGCACTCGTAACTTAGGCGCCTCAGGCGACCGGGCGCCCGTTAGGCAGCAGCCTTGGGGTTGATCATGTTCCTGATTTCGCCAGAAGTCTTGACTCCTGGTGCCAAACAAAATGATCACAGCCTCTGGAAACCATGTTGCCTGGCAGCTTATATACAATACAAATGTAACATTCTGTGAAAAACCATTGCTAATACATCATGGCTCAGAATCTTAAATCCCTAGACAGCATTTCAGCCCCTCTAATTCATTCTTGCATTGCAGGGTTGTCACTTGATAGACAACCTCTGATCCTATCAATACTAACCACACTTTCTTGTTGTTTTACAACAGGAAGGACATGGACCTCCACATGTCTCAAGATCTGCAGAGCTACACCACCTACAGACTCACTACTGGATATCCAAGGACTAAATGTCTGCTGCTGTCTGGGTGGGGAAGTAATGATCTGGAGTATTGGTAGTACAAGGAACAGGTGATTGACAAGGAGAGGAAGACAGTCAGCAGAACATTCTGGTAATTGAGACTGTATTATAGACAAACCTAGAAAGATGAAAAAAAAACCAAACAAACTCAGGTTGGCAGGTGCCTGTAATAATGATTAACATTATTAGCCTCTTAGTTATAGTGTAGAACATTTCATCAGTACTTACAGAGCTGTAAGACACGCAGATGGTAGTCCTCTGGTGATTTCAGGAGAAGTCTGCTTAAGGTCGGAATGACACATAACTGGGAAAACACCTTAATCAAAGCGAAATCAAATGTAGATTAGTTTTAATTAGAATTGTACAAATGCACAGATCTAGCATTTTATTACATTGGTTGATTTCATTCACTTTACAAAACATGCACACTGCCTAGTTAAATTGATTAAATTCCCTGTGCCTGAGTCTCTAAGAAGTTAATTGCCATATATAATTATGTATGTATGTAATTAAGTACAAAGCAGGAGTTGCTATTGCTGCTATCTGTCATTACATGTACTCTTCTTATAACTGTGCAGTCATGCAATTTCTAAAACCCCACCCTAGGATTTTTTAGAGTCATGTTTCAGCCAACTGTCTTGATTTTAGTTATTGATGTGTAACGCTTTACATCAAAGCAGAAACAAAATAATATTGTTGTTAACAGGAAAGATGGCCTGGCCAACAACAACAACTCTAAGTTTGACTCATTAATCAAAAAAAGTTGGGCAAGAGATGCAGGCAGTGGTCTTTCAGTACATTTGCATGACACAAAACTAGTTAAATAGATGAATTTTCTTTTAATTGCAATCTTCATCAACTCACATGTAATTATTGTATGTTTCCTTTTCTTACGGTAGAAAATTCAGACCCAGATTTTAAATAAGGTCATGTAACATAATATTCAGTATATACCTGTGGGCTATGATTTTGAATTGTTTGTAATAACATAATGGATGTTGTCATGTCACAACCATGGGGCAGACTCTCACAGCACAGAGATAATAAATGATTCACCATCAGCTCCAAATGTTTTACACCTACCAGATAAAACAAAGATTCATGGGCATGTGAAAGCTAACCTGCAGTCTGCATTCTAGAGCACTTATCACTGGAATAATATACATGGGTTATTGACCAAGCATGAGGTCAAGATGGCTGGATATTGGCCAAGTTCTTTTTTTTTTTTTGCATTTTTATGGACCAAGGCAGATCAAGGACCACAAACTCCCAAAAAAGAACAAGGCCAATATCAAGCCATCTTGACTGAACAAGCTTGGTCAATAAAGGATTTATTGCTTGGCTTTCGGGGAAATTTTTCTTACGGGATTCAATGGGTAGTCCCGAGCAGGCAAGATAGCACTTCCCACTTGGGTAGCCAATCACAGAGCAGGATTTGGTTCATCTTGCCCGCTCATGGAGCTAGCCATATAATAAGAGTTATTCTTGATAGTACCTACAGTGAATTCCCTAATTTTTTTGTTCCTGCTGACAAAAAATGACCACATGTGATTTTTGGAAATTTCTGATTACTTTCCGCAAATTTTTGCTCTCTTAGCAAAATGATGTTACCGAGAAGTTGCCCTTGACTTTTGGAATCCCTTATTTTTAAAAACAATTTCCATTTTCGTACAGTAGGTGGTTTGAAATACTAGGATTCAGCTACACTTGTAGTCATTTTTGGCAGTGAAAGTCAACTTGTCAATGTTCTGGTAATTGCTAATATTAAAACTTTACAAATTAATATTGATATTGTTTACTTAAGGTACTTAATAAGTACAGTATTTAATAAGTTTGCACAGAGCTACAACTGTAACCTATCTAGCCATACCATTATTGTAGTCATCTTTGCGTTCCAGCAGCCATTGAGCAATAGTATGTACAAAGAAGGTGGTTTGACTCAATGATTTCCTATCAACCTAAGAACAACAAAATAACTTAAAATTTATTGTTTTAACTCAATAATTAATGGTTTACAGTTACTTGCACATTGTACTACAGGTATCTAAAGGACAAGAAAATTGCAGAAAAATATCATTAAATGCTCATAACTTTTCGTAAAGAAAGTTTCTTGCAATATACATGTAATAATGAAATTAATTTTCCTCCATCTCAAGACTGATTCTATCAAAATGATCAAATGAATTTAAGTCATACATGTACAGGTGTAGTATGCTTGGCTCTAACAAATTACTGTTGTGATTGAATCAAGGAATGTACAGTGGTTATTGTGGTAGGTGAGCAGGTATGACAAGGAACAACTTACAGCTTATTCTAGAGAGACAAAAGAACAACAGGTAGGTTCTAGGTAGCAACATGTTTAGTAAAGTCAAATGCAAAGTTTCAGAGTTATAAAGGCCCTGACTGAATATTACTGACCTGGAGGCAAGGCACAACAGACATCAAAAAATCTACAATATCATCAGCCAGCAACTTTCTGTCAGCTTTTGTTTTTTGGTTGTCATCTTTTCCTTGATACAAATAAAAAATAATGACTGTAGTTTAATTTTGCCTCTGGTATAAATTATCATTTTAATTTATAGTACTTACAAAATTATTAATTTGGTACAACACTTTTTCAATCTTACAACTGGCCCTAAAATAACCATTTGGCTGCTTTAATTAGTTGCAGCTGTTTATTATGGTTAAGATTAGTTTTACTGTGTCCATGAAATAGACGTTAGCTTCTCATGGTCAGTGATTTGTCACTTTATAACATCAGTGGCATCAGACCCATGCTTTTTAAACAATCTCTAACAATCTACAATCATGGACAATTTGTGTTGGAAAATGCCAAAATCATGAAATCATAATACCTACAGAATGAACGTCAACAACCCCACTCCCCCATTCAATGTTGGAAAATGGTAAAATGCAAACTTGTGTTAGATGACAGTGTTTTGTCAACATTGCTCAGGGGTGGGGAGGGGCAAAATGTTTTCCAGCCCTTGTGACCAAGGTTGTAGTTTCAAGCTACCCTGCCATTTTAAACCACTCTCAATAGTAGATTTGTCCAGCTGTTTTGAGTTCCTTCTCCTCCTTCCCCACCCCCATACCCTACACATTTGTCGATATTCCAGTCAGTATTATAGGTACATGTACCTAGAATGGGACTCCTGGCTGGATGTTTCGATTTGCAGGCTATGGGAGTGGGATTAAATCTAGGCCTGTCAGACAGACAGTTCTAATTAATTATATATCAATTTATTAATCATAATGACAGTCAGGTTTCTCTTACAGTGTGAATAACAGAGGCATACCTGGACATTTCAATAGACTGCTTGCTGTCTGTAGAAGACTGGTAAGCAGTTGCTGTCTGACAAGTTGATTAACTGTGACTTTTGGATCCTGAAGTACAAACTTGAAAAATGGTTCTAACATCTGTATAATAGCTTGAGGCGTGAGAGAACTGTGAAAAAAACTTACAGGTATGCCAAACTATAGGTATAGATCAGAGTCTGAGTTGAGAATCAGGCAAGTGTTTGTAAATAATCAAAAGAAGCCAAATAAATTCAGCTTGAATTTTCTCAGTCAGATGTCTTCACAATTTCTTTAAATCTCCTAAGTAGCCATTAGTCAAGAGCTGCATGTACACTGTGTGCATCTGTTTACATTTTCATTCCTTTGTTGTTTGGGATTGAACACAGGTCTTTGTGCTTTGAATTCCGTGATATATTGACTACATAATGAACACAGATACAGTATATTGTTTATGGACACTTGCGTCCAAATCTTCTCATGTAGAGATCTTCTTGAAACTTTTGCTGTAATAATAGAATGACCAACGCATGTCAGAAATGCCAAAAAGGGGCCCATGATACTTGTCTGGGAGTTAGGTAAAGTATTTTGACAACCATACTGTTTCTAATAGCTTTGGTCATGTAACGAAAATCTGCTCTCTTGCTTTCAGCCAAAAATTTAATAAGTAGAATGGAGGCCTCCAGATAAGGTTTTTTCCACCATGCTCAATTTTTAGAAAACAATCACTTATTTCTCTGACAAGTTTAACTTGAAGGAAATATCTTAATGGTGTGTACATCTATATGCTCATGTGCACACTAATGGATGCGAGAAATTATATGTAGCAAGGAATTAACCAATGCAATTCAGTTGAATCAAGTTAGGGAGTAAACTGCAGGCAAAGTTAATGCAACCAGTACCAAACCTTTGACTTGCTTATATTTCTTCCTAAACACACAACCTTGATACATGATGTGGTGCTTTGTACCTCTTGATGTTGATACTGTTCAAAAGCAGTAGTTTCATTTGTTGAATAAGAATTGTTGCTTGTTCAGGAGAGCTTGTTAACACTGTAATGAATGGGTGTGGAGGAGACCTGGGAAAAGAAAATTCAAGAACAAAATTTGGTCATACAGTATAGCTAAAACGTGATGAAGAGCAAAGCTGTTATCAAAATTTGTCATTCGCCCTTTTAAATTGCAACCATACAGATCTGTTCATTCATCTTCAATTGCTGACAATATAACTACCTTATACTTACAGTGTATAGAGAAATGTAAGCTAATTTCTAGATAATTACTTTTATTAATATTTAATATTGTTTCTGGACCAATAGATTTTGCACTGAACCACATGCCTAATTCAGTGGAATAAACCCTACCCAGGAAATGATTCTCACCTTGTGATAACTTGAGAAGGCAGCTTTCTGAATTACGGTTGCATCATTACAATTATACTTCAAAACATTCGACTCCATGTAACAATGCAATGCCAACTTTATTTCGCTCCAATAACAGCGATTTAGAGAGTTTAACCAGAAAAAACACGAAAAACGAGTTCAATGGCCTCGTGGTGCCATAAGTCCTTGCGGTCACACACCACAGCGCCTTTTTGTTTCACTCCGCCATTTTGGAAGAACATGTTTCTCGATGATGACTAATAATTCAGAGAAAACGGGTGAAAATACCAGGGATTTACTGCCCCAGGGATCTTCACAGCCTTCTATGGACCTCAGGGATGAAGGTAAGCGGTTCGGCCAGGCGCTTTTAGCTGACCGAGGTTTTATCCAAGCGATTTCCTCAGCAATCATTTCTGGTTTGTCAGAGGGCGCAGGAAAGCCTCATGGCTCCGCAACCCGTCCTGAACTACCTGGGACTAAACGTTCCACCGGTGAGCTTGATGGCCCCAGAGATTTGGTGGGAAAGTCTGTTGACTCCACCAGTGTTAGCCAGATGGCTAAACATTTTAGACATGATTTTCCCTTTCACCGGGAAATCGTGCCTATAAACATTGATGACACTACCGAAGAGTCAGCATTTCAGGGAGAATATTCTGACAGTATGGAAGCCAGTGCAGCCAGATGGCAGGCTTCAGAAGAGTTCTCGACCTTTCTGGATGCAACTAGGAAGCCATTATCGAAATTTGACAGACGTCAGATTGTTAAAGATAACCCTAGGCCCAACGTGGATGCAGTGTTCACTCCACACTTGGATTCTTACCTGCCCGGTCCCATGGACGGTTTAACCGGCCCCGACGCCGAGTTCAGAAAGATTCAGGATAAGGTGCTCAACATTATGGGCCCTCTGGGCACTGCCCATGAACACTTACTAGACAAGCTTGATCCTCCATCTTCTACTCTCCAGTTCTCAAGAGAGGAAGGGACTGGCCTCATGGCAATAATCCAAAGGTCAATTCAGTTGGCTGGTCATGCTTCAGCCACAATCTCACAAAAACGTAGAGTGGCAGTCCTAACTTAAGTAAACAAGGCTTATGCATCCCTTGGTAAGGAGGATTTCCCAGATGCTGGCAAGGATCTATTTGGCAAGGGTTTCGAGTCACACCTTAAGGAACGTACAGAAACAGCAAAAGCAATAAATGAAGCTAAGAAAGTGGGGCAACAGCTTTTTCGGCCCGCCCCTCCACGTGGACGCCCCTACCTGGCAGTGGAGGGTCATGGAACAACCTACGACGCAGGGCCCGCCAAGGATGTTGGCAGACCAGAACCCATCCTTTTCAACAGAGGGGAAGGGGCTTTCTCCCCCCCACGAGCCAAACCTCAAACAAACCAGTGAACAAAGGTATGTCCCCAAATCTTTTACCAATAATCTCTGCCCCAGCACAAGTAGCTGGACACCTAAAATATTTTCAGAACAATTGGCATCTTATTTCGGACGACCCTTGGGTGTTGGAGACTATTACGGGTTACAAAATAGAGTTTCACTCTATGCCTCACCAGATAGCCTGGCCTCACATTTTCGTGTCAACAACCCAACAGGAGGCTGTTCAAGCCGAGAAAGACAAAATGGCCTTGCAAGGAGCCATCCACCCAGTCTCCTCCAACACCGAAGGGGGGTTCGTCAGCAGTATATTTCTAGTCGACAAGAAGGACGGTGGCCACTGCCTGGTTATAAACCTAAAGAATCTGAATTCCTTTGTGCACTTCCAGCATTTCAAAATGGAGGGAATTCACATGTTATGGGATCTGTTAAAAAAAAAGGGGATTTCATGGTCAAACTGGACTTAAAAGATGCTTACTTTACTGTCCTGGTCTGGAAAGGGCATCAAAAATTCTTAAGGTTCATCTGGAAGGAAACTCTATGGGAATTTGCATGCCTTCCATTCGGGCTGGCCAGTGCACCCCGGACATTCACCAAAATCAGGAAACCNTGTAGGGTCATGGAACAACCTACGACGCGGGGCACGCCAAGGACGTTGGCAGACCAGAACCCGTCCTTTTGAACAGAGGGGAAGGGGCTTTCTCCCCCCCACGAGCCAAACCTCAACCAACCAGTGAACAAAGGTATGTCCCCAAGTCTTTTACCAATAATCTCTGCCCCAGCACAAGTAGCTGGACGCCTAAAATATCTTCAGAACAATTGGCATCTTATTTCGGACTACCCTTGGGTGTTGGAGACTGTTACGGGTTACAAAATAGAGTTTCTCTCTATGTCTCACCAGGTAGACTGGCCTCACATTTTCGTGTCAACAGCCCAACAGGAGGCTGTTCAAGCCGAGATAGACAAAATGGCCCTGCAAGGAGCCATCCACCCAGTCTCCTCCAACACCGAAGGGGGTTTCGTCAGCAGTATATTTCTAGTCGACAAGAAGGACGGTGGCCACCGCCCGGTTATACACCTAAAGAATCTGATTTCCTTTGTGAACTTCCAACATTTCAAAATGGAGGGAATTCACATGTTACGGGACCTGTTAAAAAAAGGGGATTTCAGGGTCAAACTGGACTTAAAAGACGCTTACTTTACTGTCCCGGTCTGGAAAGGGCATCAAAAATTCTTAAGGTTCATCTGGAAGGAAACTCTATGGGAATTTGCATGCCTTCCATTCGGGCTGGCCAGTGCCCCCCGGACATTCACCAAAATCAGGAAACCTGTTGTGGCAACTCTTCGGAACTTGGGGATTCGTCTTATTATATATCTCGACGACCTTCTCATCCTAGCGGATTCAGAGCAGACTGCCAGACTACACCTGGCAACAGCTATGAATCTCCTAGAGAGTTTGGGGTTTATCATCAACCTGAAAAAGTCAGTTTTAGCCCCTGTGCATAAAATAGAATTCCTGGGTCTGTCTGTGGACTCAGTAACCCTGTGTCTTGCCCTCCCTCGAGACAAAGTCACGAGTATTTGCAGGGAGTGCGAAGGCCTGATCGCCAATCCAGTTGCAACAGTGCGGCAATTAGCCCATCTCTTGGGTCGGTTGAACTCCTCCATTCAAGCAGTGTTCCCTGCCCCACTCTATTACCGCTGCTTGCAGCAGGCAAAGATCCAAGCACTCCACTCAGGAGGCCATTACGAGTCTCAGGTCTATCTGAACCAGGAGGCGATAGAGGAATTGCAATGGTGGGCAGAGAACCTTATGGCTTGGAATGGGAGTGCCCTTGCCCACCCAGACCCCAGCATGATAATAGAGAGTGACACCTCAATGGAGGGCTGAGGTGCCCATTGCAATGGGGTGAGTACAGGTGGCCTATGGAGTCAATCCGAACAGTTTCTCCACATAAAGTGTCTGGAACTTCTAGCAGGCTTTGTGATCAAATGCTTCGCAAAGGACAAAACAAACATTCACATTCAGCTCCTGATGGACAATGTGACTGCACTTACATTCATCAACAAAATGGGGGGAACCAAATCCCGTGTCCTGGCCTCTCTGTCTCGCGGTCTCTGGCAGTGGTGTCTTCAGAGACAGATAAGAGTGTCTGCCACCCACATCCCAGGGATCCTGAATGTGAACGCAGACAGGGAATCCAGGCATCACCTGGACTCCTCCAATTGGAAGCTTTGCCCAGTAGTGTTCCAGACCCTTCAGAACCTTTAGGGCCCGTCTGGAACTCGACCTGTTTGCGTCCCCGTTGACAAACCAGCTACCTCGCTTTGTGAGCTGGAAACCAGACCCCCAGGCCGAAGCAGTGGACGCCTTCTCCCGTCAGTGGAACATAGTCAAGGGTTATGCCTTTCCCCCCTTCTGTCTCCTGGGCAGGTGCCTCAGTCAAGTGCTGAGACAGCAAGTCCCATGCCTTGTACTGGTAGCACCAGTGTGGAAATCTCAACCTTGGTATCCCCTCTTGCTGGATCTTCTGGTGGACTTTCCAGTCCTTATTCCCCAGTCTCCAAATCTATTAACCTGGGAGGGAGTGTCCCACCCTCTGACCCACCTCCAGCTGGGAGTATGGTTTATCTCAGGCAACAGTATGAGGAGGGAGGCTTTTCATGCCAAGCTAGAGAGCTCCTCTCAGCGGCTTGGAGGAAAAACACCTCCGACCAGTACGCTTCTGCATGGAGAAAGTGGACTGGCTGGTGCTCTCCGAGGAAAATTAATCCCGTTTCAGCATCTCTAAATGACATTATTAATTTTCTTGCAAGCGAGTTTTTGTAGGGGAAACAGTACCAAACACTTGATGTTTACAGATCTGTTATTTTAATGACCCACCCTACAATTGACTCTGTATGGGTAGGAGAGCACCCCATGGTTTGCCAGTTGTTGAAAGGAATCTTTAATTCAAGACCTCCCCAGCCCAGATACTCCTTCACCTGGGATGTGTCTGTGGTTGTTGAGTATATCAGAGGTCTCGGGTTGAATACATCCTTATCTTTGAAGTTGTTGACTCAAAAGCTTGTAATGCTTTTGGCTGTAACTTCTGCGGAAAGAAGCTCTGAACTGGTGGCCCATGACCTCCATTTCAGACGTTTTTACCCTGAGGGTGTAGTGTTCAACCTTCCATGCCTGACTAACTCTATTTGAACTGGGATTATACAAGGGACCGTAGGTCCTGAAGTATAAGATAGATTATACGATAAACATGAGACGGAATGTAACAGTACAATCCCACCCACATCTATAGCTCTGATGTGTAACATTTCTTTGTTTTAGTTTGTCTCTTTTCTTGTTTCTTCTGTTCCTTTCCAGGTTGGCTTGCTCAACAAAAAGGCGCTGTGGTGTGTGACCACAAGGACTTATGGGACCACGAGGCTGTTGAACTTGTTTTTCTTGTTTTTTCTGGTTAAACTCTCTAAATCGCTGTTATTGGAGCGAAATAAAGTTGGCATTGCATTGTTACATTCCGTCTCATGTTTCTCGTATAATCTATCTTATATATCTTCAGGACCTACAGTCCCTTGCATAATCTGGGATTGCACACTAAGTTTATATAACCATGAATTAAACTTAAGAAAAACTTAATTGAACTTGTTATAACCTTTTTAACTTCTGAAAATCAAATAATCTGACTTACCTCAAGGAAAAAGGGCATTTGTACTCTATGCCATTTTTGACACATTGGTAAATTTGAAAGGCCAGCAAAGAACTCAAGGCTTTGATTATGCCACTTAAATTCCTGTGTGATTTAAATTAAACAACGGGCATTTAATAAATTGAGGCTCACTTCAGCTACAACCACTTTTCTTGATCAGTTCAACTACAGTAGAATCCTGTCTGACAGCTACCCTGTTAATATGGCCATCTCATTATTACGGCCTCTTTATTCTGACCTGAATAAAAGCCTATTCAGTCATTTTCCTATTTAAAGAACCCCTCTAATAGGGCCACCCTGTTAATACCACCACATTTTTGTGGCCAGATTAACAGGGTTCCACTATACATGTCTAGCTGATTTAAGCCCTACTCTATCATTATTTCCTGTTTTTAAGCTGCTGTGTTTTTGGTATGTTTTTACCCCTCCCTTATCAATTTTTATGCCGGAATTGAGCCAGATACATGTCCCATCAGTAAATATTGTAACATCACCTTAATCTGCCCTCAGGTCAATAGGCAAGCATAATGTGATTATCACTGAAGGTTCAAGTACATCTATGTGGTACCTTCATATAAGTCAGTTCTCAAAGCCTAGATGTACCTTTCCCTCCATCCGTAAACTTCCACCCCGGCTAGACAAGTAACAGACCTACCTGACTGAAGGCACAGCATTCAATAATCCTTTCAGAATGTAATCAAGGTCAGCATGGCCATCAAAAACAAGTTGTACCAGGCACTGGCTACACAATCTGGCTGCCGATTCTGATGAATCTTCAATCATCTCCCACAATACCTTTAATTCAGGAATCTGATAAAAAACAGTTATGTAATGATGCCATTTTGAACACTTCTGGCTTACGGCTCATACAAAGTATAAATGGTATAAAGTACTCAGTGTTACTGTATAGATAAGCTTGACAAAATCATCATTGTCCATCCTCTGAGTGCCAGGTATTGCATGCTTAGGGCTGACATGACCAGACAAATGCAGACTACAGACTGAAGTTTTAGGTATATACTCGTTGTGTCTAGACTGCCTTACTGTAGCTTATGGATGTATTACCCACTGAATGTCAGTTAACCAACAAGGAATATGCCAAAGTCACCCATGTAGACATGTAGAATAGTCCAGGGCTTAGCAAAACATAATTATAGAAATTTGTCCTTGAACTTGGTTCTTTTTCCTTACCTCTTCTCTTGTGGTGTATGTGTGTAAGCATGTACATGTACATACCTCTACAGACTTCTCATTTAAGACAGATCCTGGTACCATCTTACCCAAGATACCATCATAAAGCTTCCATGCTGCCTGTTTTAGAAATTAATAATTAAAGACCTAATTAAAGGAAAAAAGTCAACCCAAGAGCCCTTCCCTGAGAAAAACTGAGTGTCTTTCAAGGTCTCTCCAAAGAAATGTCAGTGCACCCCGTGAAGACTATTGCTAGCGTCCCACTTGCTGTAAAGCTGTAAAATTTCCTTACAGGGCAGTAATTTCTCTATTAATTCACCTCACTTTCTTCACCTTCCTTTCTTATGGACCTTCCCCTCCCTCTAACACCCCCTCTCC